TACATAATTGTCTTTCTTGAACAATACTCAAGAGTGGAGATGGAGGTCACTCTGTTGTGCTCCAAAGTAACGGAGCCTCAATGCATGTTTAGAAACAAAACAGTTCCTTACACTGACTTTCCAAATTTAGTTTACAAAGCATGTGATTAACAGAAAACCTGTACATATGAAGAAAAATTCAGAATGTTCACAAAAAATTGCTCTTAGGAGTGCCTGGCAACCACTCTGATCCTGTGGCCAGAGCTCATGAAGACAGAAGCTGCTTGTAATGCCACTGTCATAGGCCAGCATACAGAAAGAGTTAGGACAGATACTCCTGTGCACTTAACAGAGGCTTTGTCAGCAGAGCTGAGGAGGGCTGTGTTGACTGGATCCCTGGCTTCAGAGACGGCAGCCCAGAAAGTTACCATGAGGGTTCCAAAATTCCCATTCCAATATGCCTTTCTGGCTCCTGGTCTTGGCTGGTATTGTCTCTCAGCCTGTATAAAAGCCGTGAATTAGATACAAAAAAAAAAAAAAAAAAAAAAAAAAAAAAAAAAAAAAAAAAAAAAAAAAAAGTCTGGTCTGGTTTTAGCTTACTGGAAAATAAAGGTCACCATACCCAATATAATTCTGTTTAAATGCCATATTGCTATGTGGAATGTTTTCATAGGTTACACTAAGTTAGCCGCATCTTAGCTAGCTAGAATTCCCTCATATCAGTGGTATGAAAGTACATCAACTTTACTGTACTTCGAAGTTCATCATTTCCTAGGGACAGCTCATCACTTAAGCTTATTTCTACAGCTGGCTGTGCTTGGAACTGACAACAGAGAAATTTTAATGAGTTTGACAGGGAAAGGACACCTATGCAGGATTTTTGGGTTTTCTCCACATAGGTTTCAGAAAATCTGATTTGGTTTCAGCACATTTCTTCATTGGGCCTACAGAAACAAACAAAACACTAGCAAGCCATCAGATTCTTCAATGAAAATGTATTTCACATTAAACACAATGAACACAGCATGCACATGAGGCATCACCATGGTCACAATGGTGCTATGAGGCACAACAGATCACAACAAAACAAACATTTAGCAAAATAAAACTAAGAAAGATGGTGAAGCATTTTTTGAAAGTCAGACCATGCTATCATTTTCTGTGTGCTTGTCATAAAAGGGATTTCCCCTGATATTCAAGATCAATGGCACTGCATTATTGGAGGCATGTATTTTATTTAATATATACACATACACAAACATACATAGTTTCCATAACTGATAAAGTCTTAAACTGTAGCTGGTTTTAAAAGCACATGATCAAGATTATTATTGAGACTTCTTTTTATCTCCTGGTTGCAAACCTCAGTCAGAATTATGGATCTTTTCCAAACTCTTTACTGTACAAGAGTTTCAAAGAAGTTTTCAAACAAAAAACAGTTTCAAAGGAGGTCATTTTAATCTGAAAGTCACATTTCACCACAAGAAACAAAATTAAGAAAACACATTATATGGCATAAAACACATGAAGTATACATTCTAGTGTCATTGTCCCTTGTTCAGATATTTTTATGTTGGTCTGTTAAAATGACATGTTGGGTCCAGTTCAGGGCCCCCTTGTTCCAGAGAACTATCATTTTCATTTGAGCCTGGTTTCATTAGAGTTGAGCAAACACAGGAGCAAACAAACAAGGGCCCCAAGGTCCAAGAGAAAAACGATAGCAACAACATGAAAACCAACCACCTGTGCATGAGCCCCACAAATCATTCAAGCTTCCTTCAGTCCAAAAGCTACTCGATGGCTTGGATATTTTAAGGGGTAACAATGACAAGATCCTTGCTAGATTCAGGTGCCCAAGTCTATAATAAAATGCATACGTGAACAGAAATCATTCCACATTGCTTAATAGTTTTCTTAATCAACCAGACAATATTAGTCTGTCAGCCCCCCAAGGAGTAATATGGGGCAATGCATTTTGCAGGTGGCTAAGCTTAATAATAAGAAACAGCTTGATAGTAACTTCCAACAAATAAACCACAGAAAGGGGGAAAACCCTCTGGAATTTCTTCTAAACACAGACAGGGAGATAAGCAGCCCAAGTTCAGTGTAAGTTTAAGTAGAGTTTGAGTCAATGTCTAGAATATTTACAGGAAAAGACATCTAAATGTTTATGTACTCCAACTTTGGGAATAAGAATGGTTATAAGGTGAATTTCCAACACAGAATCACCTGGGTTATTCAGAGGATCACTATGATAATAAAGTAGTATAGGAAGCACTTTATCAGCAGCTGAAGCTCATAAATAGAACTGTAACATGAAACTTTGCTAAAGCCCAACAAGGCCAATGTTTCAAGGTTTCGACCAAGAGTGGTTTCTACCAAGAGTGGCCAGTGTTTGACATACTAACTAGGGATACAGTTACATTTTCATCTAATAATTTGGAATCCAGTGATTTAGGACAACAGAAGCTTCTTCAGAGGACCAGCAGCTTGGATTTGACTACCAGCAGCTTCATGGGCTCTCCAAACACCACCTGTGTCAATCCAAAAACAAAACCAGATGAGATGAATGAAGAGACCACATTGTACCTATTCTTTCTCACTAAAATGATCACTCTGTCTGGAACTTTCTACCTTCTTGATAATTATATAGCAGTATCTTTCAATGGAAGAGCTTCAGCATTTTGGGTGGGACTATTCTATTAGGTGGCCAAATTTTCTGCAGGATACTTAATGTCCCAAGCTCTGCTTTCCAAATGGTATTGCTGCCCCTAGCCACTGTGACAACAAAAACCAACACATTTTAAGATTTCAGTGCAGAACTTATTTTAAGAAGCCAAATGCAGTCAAAACAAACAACAAAACACATGCTTATTTATGTTCACTTGTATCCTATCTTGATTTTAAGTTTTTAATTCAGTTAACATCCAGTGTTATATTAGTTTCAGGTGTACAATATAGTGACTCAATACTTCCATACATCACTCGGTGCCCATCAGAACCGGTGCACTCCATAATCCCCATACCCTATTTCCCCCATCTCCACCGACCCCTGCTTTCCCCTCTGGTAACCATCAGTTTATTCCCTATAGTTCAGAGTCTGTTTCTTGGTTTGTCCCTTTTTCTCCTCCTTGCTCATTTGTTTTGTTTCTTAAATTTCACATGTGAGTGACATCATATGGTATTTGTCTTTTTCCGACTGAGTTATTTCACTTAGCATAATACTGACACAGTTTATTCTAAATGTTACCTGTCATACATTCCTTTTTACGTGTCAAAGGGCCACAAGTGCTTTCCTAAGAACCGAGAGAGAAGTGAACTCTTAAGATGCACTATCTACAGCTGATAGCTGAGCACAGGAAGATGTATGCAAAATACAGTGACCTTTGGCCATGTGCCCTCCCCAACCTGTTTCCTCATTTGATTTTATTTATTTAAGTAATCTCTGCACCCACTGTGGGGCTTGAACTCATGACCCCGAGATCGAGAGTCACATGTTCCTCCAACTGAGCCACCCAGGTGCCCCAAAATAGATTTTACTTTTTTAAAATAAGCTCTATGCACAACGTGAGGCTTGAACTCACAACCCCACGATCAACAGTCGTGTGCTCTTCTGACTGGGTCAGCCAGTCAGCCTGTGTTTCCTCATTTGAGAAAGAGAAAGATTGGACTAAATCATATCAGGCATCGGAGCTGTGTTATAGGAGTGGAGCCTCATAAGAAACGAAGTGAGAGAATGCTGAGAATATAAAAATGTTTTCAAAGTCTAAAGTGGGAGGACAACTGGAATTAACTTACGAAAGGATTTGATGATAGATTCTAATTATGTTTTCGTTAATTAAAAAACAAGCCCCAAACTGAAGTAAATCCAATGTAAGGTGTGTATAACTAAATTACACAAATGCAGAGTGTTTATAACCCACTTCGACAAGAAAAAAGGCCAAAGGTGGGGACACAAACTTCAGCTCTCCATCTGCCCACTCCCTCAGTGTGGTCCAAGAATAGATGTTTGCTTGCAAAGATTCCAGAATGGGTCAAGAGAACAGCAAATCATTTGACCCCATGCTCATCATTATATATGAATGACTGCAGATAGAATGTGGAATGTCATTGAGTAAAACTAGGGGAGAAATTCACTTTACTAATACCACCTTGTACCACTATTACGGTATTCTCTTTGCCTCTAAAAATGGTGCTACTCCAGATAGATGGTTGGTCAAGCTTGTAGCAGTGCTTCTCAACACACACACCACACACCCATCCACACACCCCCAACAGCAGGGTGGGCATGGAGGGGTGTGGCACTGAAGGCTCTCATACAAAGGATTCACTTGAAATCCATCTCAATTATTGTGTGCGCTGCAGTATATATACCATATACAGGTTTCCTCCCATCTGAAAGAATGTTCCTATGAAACCTTTTGTAAGCAGAAATGCCGCAAGGTGAAGAAGCAATTAATTACTACTAACTCATATGGAAAATTTTTTGAGTGTTCCCAGACCCCCAAAATAACCTCTTAGGCTTTTCTTTTACCTTAGGATATATCTTGCTAATGGATGTGCAAAATAATATGAGAGAAAGCACAGATGCTCACAGACACAGTGCAAAGCTATGGCGGCTGAATGCTGAGTGCAGCTCTCAGGAAGGAGTTTGACGGAGCCACTGTCCCCGTGCAGGATGCATGCTGCCTCTCGAACAGCTCACTCCAAGACAAACACTGAAGGCTGTTTTTGCATTTTGCCTTTTTTTTGTAAAAGTGAAAAATCTCTTTGCACTACTTTCAGTTAATGCAAACAGGTAGTAATGCAGGTCTTTCATAAACTACATTTGGCATAATGTTAAGTTTTGAAAAATGAGTGATACCTGTATTCATATTCACATTTGTATTTTTCAAATAAAACTGACCATTCAGGACACCGAGTGATGTTTATCCCATCTTTACAAACCCCACTTGGAGAGGTATAAATTTAGACTATAATCAAAGGACTGGACTGTACCTTTCATTAAAGAGATGTATTTGTCAACAGAAGGTGTTCAGAGTATTTTCTTGGCCAGGACTGTTAAATCCTTCAATCAAGTTTTTATTACAGTCATCCAGGCTGAGATTTTCACTGGATCGCTTGGGGTACATGGGCGGGCCAGTGAAATCTAGGAGATCTTGAAGTGCTCGGGCATTACCAGTTCCATTTTGGTCCAGAGACACCCCAGGAATCATTTCACTTACTGGTGAAAATTCTGGGATGGAGATAAGCTCTTCCTTTGAAACAGGACTGGGATGGGGGGAAGGGAGGGACAGTGAAGGAGGGAGGCAGAGAAAAATATGAAAATTAATTCTATTTACAATATTCTGTTACACTACTTTTCGAGAGAAGATGGATTTAGAGACAAAGCTGGTGTGAAACACACTATAAAAAACACAAGTTATTTCAAATCTGAGACATTGAGAGATAGAAGCCCCCCTCCCAAGGAAAAACAAGGGAAGTGGACTGGGCAGGGCTGTGAAGGCCAAGCTCACACTGCCCACAGGAAGAAAGAAAATAAAAACCACAGGTACCAGCACTCTACTGCAGAGAAGCCAACCACTTCCAAAACCTTCAAAATGGGAAACCCAAACAGAAAGCAAATGTTAGAAGTTAAAACAGAGCTGAGGAAGGGCCCTAATCAGCACCAGGGTTCCTGGTGCTGTTTCTCTTTAGCAGTGCTACCTTGAACAAGCTGTTTTTCCTCCCTGCCAGCCGCAGTTTCCACTGCTGTACAACAAGATGAACAATCATTTCTCCCTATCGGGGTTCCTGTGAGCATGACGTGATCATACTGAGGAAGTCTGTGCAGCCTGCAGTAAATGTTCAGTTTAGGTGGGGGCCATTGTTAAGAAGGACCCCACCATGCACCCAGTCACCTGCAGAGCAAATCTCTCCCATGCTCCCTCTCTAAAGTGAGGCCCCACTCTACCCTGACTTATCTAGCTCCTGCCCAGTGGGTGTGGCTCTCTCTCTCTCTTCAACCTAGAGATGGAAGAAGGAGTTTCATAGCTGTGTCAACCACAGGCCTAGCTCAGATGAGGTGGGCTGGGATGTGAGGTCCTGACACTGGGAGTCTTTCTTAATAGCCAGAGTAAGGTTGCTGCCAAGTTTGTCTGTTCTTTTCTTCCTTGATAAGATCTGAGAGAAGAATCTACAAAAACCAGCTGAACTGAAGAAACTGAGAAAATCCATTTCCCTCACACTCAACCTAGTTATGAGGCAGTAGAAGACCTAACACCACTTGTGGTGGCTGGAGCCTGGACAAACTGCCCCATTAGCAGAAGCACCCACCCTATCTCCACCTTGCCTCACCTCCATTCCCTGGCCTTCAACAGCTGGTCAGATCGTGAGGAGGAGAAAATGCTACAAGCTTGGGTGCAACCTCCAAGAGTCACCTTTCTTTCTTTCTTTATTTATTTTTTTTAATTTTTTTTTAACGTTTTTTTATTTATTTTTGGGACAGAGAGAGACAGAGCATGAACAGGGGAGGGGCAGAGAGAGAGGGAGACACAGAATCGGAAACAGGCTCCAGGCTCCGAGCCATCAGCCCAGAGCCTGACACGGGGCTCGAACTCACGGACCACGAGATCGTGACCTGGCTGAAGTCGGACGCTTAACCGACTGTGCCACCCAGGCGCCCCATGTCACCTTTCTTTAAATGCAGAGGTGGCCACAGGAGAACTCGGAGTACACACTGAGCCCCTTCACTTTCTTGAACCCTGGCTGATGCTGTGTCTTATCATCTTCCCCACACCCAGAGACATAAGGAATAAGTAGAGGTAGGTTCAACACGGGGAGGGGGAGAGATGCTGTGTTAATGTTTAAGATGCCTCTGCTGTTTCACCCTGGGGCCTAAGGAGATGGACAGCAATGGAGGCAAGGGTTGTCTCCATAGAATTTGCTCTACTAGTGATGGGGTGCTGGACCCTGGGTTTGTACATATCTGGCTTAAGGCCAGGGTGCACAAGCTAGGACATTTACAATCACTGTGCCCTAGGAAAGACCCTCCTCCCCAGACCCCACCCCCAAAGAGAAAGCTGAGAATTCACAGCCAAGGAGAAAAGGTTAACCTCTGGCCACCTGGAGCTCTGGCAGAACTTTTGTAAAACATTCTCACTGCCTCCTGGCTCAGATAGCTGCCCCCACTCCAATTGCCCTGTCCAAGGCTCTCTGTTTCAGTGTCTCTGTCTCAACCACATGCTAACTGAATTTGCCTTTTGTCTGAGATTAATTTGTCAGGTGAATTGTTTAAGATTTTAGTATCTGGAATCAGATTAGATCTTTTATCAAGTCTCCAATGACAAGACTACTTAAACATAAGACACTGGACACAGTGAGTCCTGTTGGTGCCCCACTCAGACCCCATTGATGTGTAGGCGCATCCGTCTCCCAGCTGCACAGAGAGCTGGCTGCTAATAGCTCACAGCTGCCACCCTTTCTCTGGACAACTGCCTTTGGCTGACAGGAGTCCTATGCCCACAGAAGTTCTAACTGCATCCCTACCTTGGGTGACCACACTCAATGGCTGATGGGTAGAGTGGCACGAAGGCTGCCTCCCTTAATCAGATCACCCTCTAGTGGAAATTCATCCTTCAGAGCTCCCATAGGACCAGCTAAAACAGAATCCTTGCTTAGTGACTTCCCCTGCTTCATACTCCTTCCCACCCTCCACTTGCTTGTGAGAACTCTTTCCCGATAAATCCCATGCCTTAGAATACCTGTCTCAGGCTCTACTTCTAAAGAACCTGACCCAACACACTAATATACCACTGATAGCTTTTGTGAATGGCAATCAAACCTCCTTTAGTTGATTTAGGTATGTAAAAGATGAAAAAATCAACAAAGAGGCAGTGGAGGTGTTTGCAGAAGAGATGAGGCTCACATGCAAAATAAACCAGCTTACCTCACATCCATAGACTGAACTTCTTCAGTTGAGTCATCCAGGCTGTTTGATTTCCCATCAAGGGTGTCTAGATGAACAAGTCCCCCAACTGGTTTAAGCCCATTAGAGAAAACGTCTCGAGGAAAAGTTTCTGGGGCAGTACGCCCCACACCATTAACTTCCTGGCAGGTGTTCAACCCATTTATTTCTGATTGAGAACAAAAAGTCATTCTGTTAATCATAAAATACCAGAACAATGAAATAGCAGGGGAAATATATATTGAGACAATTAATTTAATCCTCTGTTTTACCAACAGTCCAACATCCTTTTGCAAAAAGAACCCCATGTCATCAGCTTCAGAGAGAAAAGAAGACAAATGACATCATCAGTGTCTGTGCAGGGCTCATGACCCACCCAGGAGGCTTGGTGTCATATACTGTGCAGGTCCCCAGGCTCTGTGTAGCATTTTCTTGGGACCCAAGGCAAAGGAGAAATGTAGAGTACCTCTGAGATGGACATGCCTCTCTGACTTTGGCTGCATTGATATATTCACATCTAAGGAGGGGTTTTCTTTGAGAGAGAGAGAGAGAGAGAGAGGAAGAGAGGGAGGGAGGGAGAGGGAGGAAGAGCGCAGAAAGAGAGAGAGCATGAATGAGAATCCCACGCAGGCTCCACACTCAGTGAAGAGTCTGATGTGGGGCTTGATCCCATGACCCTGGGATCATGACTTGAGCCTGAATCAAGAGTTGGGACAGTCAAACAACTGAGCCACTCAGGTGCCCCTCACATCTAATGAGTTTTAAGTATACATGAGAGAGAAGAGCTGGACTATCCAGCTCTCCTGTCTGGAAGACAGGAGAAACCACTGTAGAATAGCAGAATCGGTTCTGAATAGAACCTGATCAGCTGTTAACCTCCCTGGAAACTAGCATGGGACTGCAGGTGGCCAGCTTCCTGTGCTGGGACTATTAAAGTAACCGAGGACCCCAGAACTTTCTGAATGGACCTGACAGACCTGTACTGGAGATGGAGACTCCCCCAGGAGGAAAACTACACAGTACCCTTACAGGAATAATGCTCTTAAGACCCACGGGTGCTCATCCCCGCAGGAAGTGCTTTGAGCCCTCACCTACTGAAAGGAAGACCCCAAGAACCAGCCCTCACACTCACCTATTTTGTTCGGGACAACTGGTTTTGTCTTATTTTCCACATACACAGGCAAGTGAAGCTCTACTTTTGGGTCTTCTTTCTAAAAACAGAGGGAAGGATGACTTTACATACAAAGACAAGCACTTTTGAAAAGCATCAAAGGATATTCAGAACTGTGCTGAACCATCTGCCTATTCCATGCTAATTCTTTGAATCTTCTGGGCTTATTACAAGTTAACTGTATTTCCCTTATCAATATGTCACCATTTTCTTTTTTATTCATGGACTACTGTGCCTCTCTCTGCATCCACAGCCCAACTTCTCAAATTTTTTACTACCACCCTGTCTCTGAAACTCCTCTTTTAGACTCCTCTTTACATCCAAGTACCTGTAGCCTCCTTAATCTAGCCAGGAACAAAGCAGGAAGAGTTCATTTTTTCTGGCTGTTCCTCTCCAAGACCTACAATTCCACTGAACATATTGTGCCATTCTTTTCTCCTCAGTCCATAAACTATCAAAATGGCACTCTGTGAACACCTACCTTCACTTCTGGAGACACATCACTCTTCCTTGTTCTCTTCATGATTTCATCTATTCTCTGGAAACCAAAAAGGACCAGGTAAGAGGACTATAATACCAAATAAACATAAAAGCAGCTGGGTCTAAATGCGATTTTACATATCTCAGAAAACTCGTAAGAGAGAAACATCAGGAGAGGATAATGAGTACAGAACGGTTTCTATTGGTTTTGCAGATACACACCTCTGCCCTATGGACAAGGTCAAATGCTTGAAAAGTGAACTAGTATTTGGAATCGACATTCAGTTTATAGCCCACCTTTTTCCTTCCTCTCCTTAGGTTACCTAAAAACAACAAATCACTACCTGCCATTCTAGAGGATCACCCTAGAGAAAGTGAGGGTGAGGTGCAGGTCATGAGGGGATGCCAGAGATTGGTCTCCTAGCTCCCAGACCTAATTCAGTACAAAGCTTAGGCTGGATCTAGGACACCACGGGAATGGAGCTTTATTTATAATCAGCCTCCTTAAACCCAACTTTATCCCTAATTACATTAAATGTAAATGGACAAAAGCACCCCAATGAAAAGCCAAATACCATCAAACTGGATTCAAATAACAAGTCCTAACTTTATGCTGTTTACAAGAGACATACTTGTAAGGAAACACATAGGTTCAAAGTAAAAGGATGGAAAAATATTTATGATGCAGACAGTGAACATAAAAAGGCTGACAAAGTGGAAAAAAAAAGTCTGACAAAGTGGACTTTCATACAATTATTAATGGAGATAGAGATACATTAATGATAAAAGGGTCAATTTAACAGGAGAATTTAATAATCTGAAATATGTATTCGTCTAACAGTAGAGCTTCAAAATGTTTAAAACAAAAGTTGATAGAACTGGAAGGAGAAATGGATAAATCCATAATCACAGAGAGAACTTTTAACACTCTTCTCTCAGTTACTAAGAGAACAAGATGACAGAAAACCAACAAAGATACAGAAGATGTGAACAGCACTATCAACAAACTTGACCTAATTAGACAATTCTAAGATCACTCTACCCAACAACTGCAGAACAGAACTGGATTGATTTCCTGTTCCTGCCTCACCCTAACTCCTCCTGATCCTGAGCCCTTACCTTCTTCCTCTCCAGGCGCTCCTGCTCAATCTGCAGCATGATCTGTTCTCTTTCTAGACGCATCTGTTTAGCTGCCTCCTGGGCCTTTGCTTCTGCTGCTTCCTTCTGATAGAAATAGGTAAACCAAGGCATAAACTTTACTAAGCTGAGAAAACACTGTAGTGGGATTCCCTGGGATATGCATGTGTTCTTCTACCTTATCAGCTACCTCAAAGTAGATGTTGTTCCAATATTCAGTGTGGATTTACACAGCCTGCTCTATGATGTAGTAGACACGGCTGGGCCTCACTCATATACTCTGGGTTCACCATGCAAATTACCTGCAGACAGTTTCCATACTGCCTGCCAAGGTTTTTCTGTGTCTGAGGGTAGTCTCTGGCCATGTGCACATGGCTAGGTGTTTCAGAAAGTTAATTACCCAAGGAGTGACCTTCAACCATGAGAGATAGAAGTTGGCAGATAAACAATCCAGTTTCCTCACCCCTCAGAGAGACAATTCTAAGGCATATTCCACAGTCTCTGAGAGAGTCCCAAAGGCATTAGCTCCCAGTGGTCCACAGTAAGCCACTCATCAGTGCACTTATACTGGCTTTCCTCTCACTCTCCTACCAGCTTGCTGGGATCTTCTCCCAAATAAACTCCTGGCACCCAAATTCTCATCCCAGGATCTTCCTTCTGGGGAATGTGAACTGACATACAGCAAACATTACAAACTTCACTTTTATTGCCCAAAGTAACTCATATTTAATAACTGGCCCAGTTAGTTTAAGAGAAAACTTCAAGCAAACATTATGAATCATTCAAATTTAACTAATTTTACCTAATATTAACTAAAGCTCTTGAGGAGAGTCCATATGAAGACTTATACTATACCTGCTTTTCAATCATGGCTTTTTCTTGCTTTTCTTTTTCTTGTTTTTCCTTTTCTTGCTCTTCTTTTAACAACAGCTCCTCCTTGGCCTTCCTCTTAGCCTCCACTTCTGCCTTTCTTTTTTCTTCCTCTTCCTGCCGTTTCTTTTCCTCCTCCTGCTTACGGGCTTCCTCTTCTAGGCGAAGCCTTTCCTCCTCTGCCTTTCTTTTCAATTCCTCTCTCTCCCGCCTTTTGAGAACATAACTGTTGTTAGAAGATGATGACATGCTCAAAAGGCAAACTGCCAAAGAACTGCGTGCCAACAGGAGAGCATAACACACGGCACACAGACGTGTGAACTTGTATTAGCATCCACTCAAGAAATTGACTCATCCTGGGGCGCCTGGGTGGCGCAGTCGGTTAAGCATCCGACTTCAGCCAGGTCACGATCTCGCGGTCCGTGAGTTCGAGCCCCGCGTCGGGCTCTGGGCTGATGGCTCAGAGCCTGGAGCCTGTTTCCGATTCTGTGTCTCCCTCTCTCTCTGCCCCTCCCCCGTTCATGCTCTGTCTCTCTCTGCCCCAAAAATAAATAAACGTTGAAAAAAAAAATTAAAAAAAAAAAAAAAAAAAAAAAAAAAAAAAAAAAAAAGAAATTGACTCATCCTTCCCGGAAAGCAACTTCAGTCTATACGTTATAAAAAAAATTAACCAGGGTTGACTTTAAATTCTGTTACACAAAGAGTAATGATGTACTTATTTGAGAACACACCATAATGAAGACATAAATGCTCCCTAGTTAATCTACGAATGACCACAGTCCCACCATTCTTACTTAATGACAATTCTTTGAAAAACTAAGTGAAATAAATATTTAAACCTAATTGAAGCTGAAAAAAAACTAGAAATGTCTCAATGGCTACAACTGTGCCAGTTGGCAACTTAAAGAGCAGTGACTATGTGCTCAATAAGTTTACTTTGGGTTCTAACTGCTGTGTTAGTTCTGAAGCGGCAAGTAGAAGAAAGTATTCAACAGAACTCTTATATTTAATATAGAAATTCAAACATCTATTTCTCATTTGTATTACCAATATTTAAAAATCTTTTAGCTTTTATTCTTTGCTATATGAAAATTAAATGACATTTAGACATTTTTCATCCACAGACGAACAGTTGATGATATAATGCTAAAGAGCTCCAAGCAGTGAGGGAAAACCCTATGAAGTCTAAGCAGTTGTTTTTACATTTCTAACATTCTTCCTAGTCACAAGTGTGTCACTTTCCTCATCTATGAAAAAATGTGAGTATTCATACTCATATTGCAGTGCGTTACTGAATGACAATGTGACATATGCGCAAGATCATGACTGTACCTGATTGTACCACTCACTGTGTGCCCCTTCCTTGGAAAGTCACTCAACATTTCTGATGCCCATTAAAAAAATGATAAAACAGGAATAGCTATACTACTGGGTCCATGACATCATTGTGAGAACTAAATGATATAATGTAAGGGAAGCACTTGGCACAATACCTGGCCCTAAGAAGATTCTCAAATGCACGCCCTTGTAAGCATATCTATAAATCTGTATGCTTTTCAGACATCACCTTTATAAAAAAGCAGGGGTCACTAACTTACTGGGGTATTGTTACATTTTTATAAAAAGTCAGGACTTAAAAAGGATATCCTGCAGGAACTGTGGAGGCAATTAGCCTATATGTCACCAAAGCAATATTTACATTTTTTAACGTTTATTTATTTTTGAGAGAGAGAGTGAGCACGAGTTGGGGAGGGGCAGAGAGAGGGAGACAGAGGATCCAAAGAAGGCTCTTCACTGTAAGCACAGAGTCTGATGTAGGGCTCAAACTCACAAACTGTGAGATCATGACCTGAGCTGAAATCAAGAGTCGGATGCTTAAATGACTGAGCCACCCAGGCGCCCCATCCCACCCCGCCAAAGAAATATTTTAAAAGGTAAAGAGATACGTAGAGACATTAGCCCAGGACTATAATAGTATGTAACATATTCTATATTTGCCAAGACTGTGATGCCTAAAAGCACTGCTGGAACAACGGAAATTATTAACAAATATTCTAGGGAACTCTGGACAAGAGCATTATGGGGCCTAATCAGAAAGAAACTCCAGTTCTTAGATTCCTCAATGGAAGACTAAGTAGGTCTAACACAAGATTATCAAAATGTCAATAACAAAGTTTATCCTAAGATTAAACAGGACACTATTTTAGTTCCTAACCCTCACGTGATGAGATGGTTTTAATTGTCCCCAAGGAACTAATACATAAAGGATACAGTGTTTATGAATTAATGCACAAGCTACTTCATCTTTAGCTTCAGGATCTGAAAAGCGTTCTGTTTCTTCTGTTTTACCATGAGGACTTCAGAGGTGCCCAATGCATACACAAACAGTAAGTAACACATCCCCTTGGGCTCTAAAGTCTCCATAATCTCTATCATTGTGCACAACACACATTCCTCCTCCCCACAGGCCCATTAGCTCTACCTTGTCCCTCCTGTTACAGACAGAATACCCTCCATTAACCAAACTCTGCTTTCCCCAAAGTAGGTCAAAACTAGCTTCCCGCGTGAAACGGAGTCCCTCAATATCCTCTCCAAGGATGAGTATTCTTTATCTGCTTAAAAAAACAGACAACATGGATTTGGTCATTTCTCCACAGTCATGCTGCTGCAGACTGCCCCACCCCCTTGCCCTTGCCATCATTACCAAGTTCCTTCTGGAGTTCACAACTCCAGAACTGCATGCAGTTCTGTCACCCCTCTGTTTTTATTCCTGTCACCTACTCCAAACCCATCCCCCTTCCTTGCCAGGGAGAAAGTACCAAAAACCTATGCATCATGGTCATCATTCAACATTTAGCAGATGCATCCTTTATCCCTGTCACTGGCCGCTGGTGAGGGTCTTGCACATCTCTGACACATGCTCAGCCTTGAACTACTTACTCAATCTGTGGGCAAGGATGGGGGTTTTGCTATTCTCTCCTGTGTGCTTAAAAGTTTTCATTAAAAAAACAAAAAACAGGCCTTCCTAAAGAAGGAAGAAAGAGCTCAGATACACAACCTAACCTTACGCCTTAAGGAGCTGGAAAAAGAACATCAAATAAAACCCAAAACCAGCAGAAGACAGGAAATAATAAAGATTAGAGCAGAAATTAATGCTATCGAAACCAAAAGAAAAAAAAACAGTAGAACAGATTAACAGAAATCAAGAAGCTGGTTCTTTGAAAATTAACAAAATTGAATCCTCTAGCCAGTTTGATCGAAAGAAAAAGAAGGACAGATAAAATCAAGAATATGAAATAGGAGATCACAACCAACGCAGCAGAAATAGAAACAATAATAAAAAAGAGAATATTATGACAATTATGCCAATAAAACATAGGCAATCTGGAAGAATGGACAATTCCTAGAAACATATACACTACCAAAACTAAAACAGGAAGAAAATAGAAAATTTAAAACAGACCCATAACCGAGGAAATCAAATTAGTAATGAAAAAATCTGCCAAAACAAGAGTCCAGGACAGATGGCTTTTCAGAAATTCTACCAAACATTTAAGAGTTAACACCTATTACTCTTGAAGGTGTTCCAAAAAAAATGAAATGGATGGAAAACTTCCAAACTCTCTTTCTATGAAGCCAGCATTACCCTGATTCCCAAAACCAGACGAGATCCCCACTGAAAAGGAGCCTGGGCCAATTTCCTGAACATGGATGCAAAAATCCTCAGCAAGGTATTAGCCAGTCCAACAATACATTAAAAAAAATCATCACCACGACCAAGTGGGATTTATACCAGGATGCAGAGGCAGGGTTCAATATCCATAAAACAATTAACGTGACTCATCACATCAGTAAAAGAAAAGGACAAGAACCGCATGATCCTCTCAATAGATTCCAGAAAAGCATTTGACCAAAAATACAAGTATCCTTTCTTATTAAAAAAACCCTCAAGAAATGGGGACCAGAAGGATCATACCTGGATCATAAAAGCAATATAGCGTAATATCATCTTCAATGAGGAAAAAACAGAGCTTTCCTCTGGGTCAGGAACAGACAGGGATGTCCCACTCTCACCACTGTTATTCAACATAGTATTGGGAAGTCTTGGCCTCTACCCAGCCAGACAACACAAAGTAAAAGGCATCCAAATCAATGAGAAGTCAAACTTTCTCTTCACAGATGACATGATACTCTGTGGAAAATTCCGCAAAAACTGCTGCTAGAACTGATTCATGAATTCAGCATAGGATTGCAGGATAACTCAATGCCTGAAATCAGTTGCATTCCTAACCACCAACAATGAAGTGAGCAGAGAAATCAGAATAGATCCCATTTACAGTTGCACCAAAACCCTTAAAAATAGGAATAAATCTAACCAAAGGGTGAAAAATCTATGCTGAAAACTATAGAAAACATAGAAAAGAAACTGAAGAAGACACAAAGAAATGAATTCAAAACCCTTCCTGGATAGGAAGAACAAATATTGTTAAAATAAATGCTCTAAAGTAATCTACATATTCAAGCATAATCCTATCAAAGCATTTCCAGCATTCATGCAGAGCTAGAGGAAATAATCCTAAGGGTGACATGGAACCAGAGAGAAGACCCCGAATAGCCAAAGCAGAAATGCTTGAAAAGAAAACCAAAGCAGGAGGCATCACAATCCCAGACTTCAAGCTATACTAAAGCTGTAATCATCAAGACAGTATTGGCACAAGAACAGACACTCAAGATCAATGGAACGAATAGGGAGCCAAGAAATGGACCCACAAGCGTGGAGCCTTCATCTTGACAAAGCAGGAAAAGACTAGCCAATGGAATAAAGACAGTCTCTTCAACAGTGGTGCTGCAGGAGAAAACTGGACAGCGACATGCAGAAGAATGAACCTGGGCACTGCTTACACCATACACAAAAATAAACTTCGAGGAATGGATGAAAGACCTCAATGTAAGACAAACCATCAAAATCCCTCAGGAGAAAGCAGGCAAAAACCTCTTTGATCTTGCCACAGCAATTTTCACCCCCCCTCAACATGTCTCTCTGGAAGGGAAACAAAAGCAAAAATGAACTACTGGGACCTCATCAAAATAAAAAAGCTTCTACCTTGAAGAAGAAACAATCAGCAAAACTAAAAGAATAACCCGACAACAGAATGGGAGAAGATGTTTTAAATGACATATCAGATAAGGTTAGTATCCAAAAATCTACAA